AAGGATGGGGGTGGGAAGGACAGATCCCTGATGGCACTGACCCTTCCCTGCCTGGCCCCTGGCCTCCAGCAGCGGGGAGTCTCTGCTGTCTCCAAGTCCCTTTACCTTCGCATGCAGGTGGGACCTTCGGGCTCTGGGAAGAGCACCATCATCCGCCTGCTTTTCCGTTTCTACGATGTGTGGGGCGGCTGCATCCGCATTGATGGGCAGGACATTTCCCAGGTAAGGGTGGGAGGCCTCCAAGGACCAGTGTAGTGGGGGAACACCAGCTCCTTCGGGCCTCACAGCACTGCTCAGTGCAGGCACTGACATCTCCCCGGGGCAAGGGTGAGCACACAGTCCCCACAGCCCCTTTGAAGGCTGATGTCTGTGCCAGGAGTGGGGTGAGTGGTGCAACTGCAGGGACCCTGGGCTGAAATGTGGGAGGCTGGCCAGGGCTCCTTGGGAAGGGACAGGGCCTCCCCACCACAGGGTGGAGATGTAGCTGAGCCTGTGGTCCAGGGGGGACCCTGGAGCAGACACTCCGTGAGGAGTAGGGTGTTGAGCTCGCAGCTGAGGGGTAGGATTAGGTTTTGGGGGGGTCTTTGTGGGGATGTGTGTCTGGCTAAGCCCTACCCCCTGCCTCCCCAGGTGAAGCAGGCGTCACTGCGCGCTCACATCGGGGTGGTGCCCCAGGACACGGTGCTCTTCAATGACACCATCGCCAACAACATCCGCTATGGACGGATCCTGGCCACCGACGAGGAGGTGCAGGAGGCAGCCCGGGCTGCTGACATCCACGACCGCATCCTCTCCTTTCCTGATGGTGAGACGCCCGCTGTCCTCTCCTTGCCCTCCTCTGCCATCCTGGGGTCCCCTATGACCTTGTAGCTGCCCTCATAGGTGTCCTTGGGTGACATTCCCCACGGGGACACCCACACGACCCTGTGCCCTGCTTTGCCTCTCCCTGTCATCTCTCCAGTGTTAAATCAGCCCCTGGGCAGGGATGGGCTGAGGCTGTGCCAGATCCTGGAGCACATTCCCACCCTTGTGCCTGCAGGATACAACACCCAGGTTGGGGAGCGGGGGCTGAAGCTGAGTGGGGGGGAGAAGCAGCGTGTCGCCATCGCACGCACCATCCTGAAGGGTCCTCGCATCATCTTGCTGGATGAGGTAACGGCCGTGGTCCCCAGCCCAGCCTCACCCTGCTCTGCAGCAGCCCCTGCCCCAGCAGAGGCTGGCATTACCTGCATCTCTTCCCCATGTCCTGCCTCTCCTGCAGGCCACGTCTGCGCTTGACACAGAGACCGAGAGGAATATCCAGGCCTCCCTGGCCAAGGTCTGCGCCCACCGCACCACCATCGTCGTCGCACATAGGTAGGGACAAGGGGAAATGGCTGATAGGTGCAGAGCTCTCTGAGCTGGCCAGCAACCCCCAGAGGGGCACACAGACCCATCCTCCTGCTCAGGAGGTGACAGCCCCTGTGATTGTGGCTCCTTGCACTGTGCAATCTCCCCCAGACCCTCTCCCCTCTGAGCCAGAATAACACCCTGCCTTTCTCTGCAGGCTCTCCACTGTGGTAGGTGCAGACCAAATCCTGGTGCTCAAGGATGGGCGCATTGTGGAGCGAGGGAGGTGAGCACAGAGAGAGGGCTTGGTGCTGCCCCCAGGGACCCCCTCCCTGGCTCTGGGGCCACCTCAGGACCCTGCACCCCCATGCTCTCCCCACAGGCACGAGGAGCTGCTGCAGAAGGGTGGCGTGTATGCTGGCATGTGGATGCAGCAGCAGGCTGGGGATGAGGGCGAGAGCAAGGAGCGCTGCCCCGAGAAGTTCCCGAGCAGCAAGAAGGGGCCGTGAGTGCAGCTGGGGACTCTGCTGTGACGCTGACCCGGGGCCCAGGCCCCCACGCTGCGAGGAAGCCGTTGCTGGCTGTAGGCTGGGGCCCTGCATGCCCCAGGAGCTGCAGGGGCTGGGTTGACACTCCACGTTTGTACCGGTTTGTTTTGCTGTTGTGTAGTTTCTTAAACCAGGTCCTTCCCAGCTCTGTGCCTGCGTGCTCTGGGCAGGGTACGCGCCTGCAGGAGCCCCCAGGAGCCGTGCTCCGGTCAGGGGTAGGCCCTTGCGACAACCAGCTTGAGCTCCTTGGGCTTAGGCAGGCAAGGGGCAGAGCAGGCTGTCAGTGCCTGCCCCATCCCTGCACAAAGGGCTCTGCCTGGCAGGGGGCTGCACTCCAAGGGCAAAGGAAGAAGCAGCAGCACTGTTGTGTCCACCCCCTGTGCCTCCTGGGTCTTGCACCCCTATCTGCAGAGATGCACTGCTCTGGGCTGGACACCAAGCAGCTGCTCCCTCAAAGCACCTCTACACCTTGCGCTACGCTTTTATTTTCTTTCAAGCAGCACGTTGACAAGTCTCAGCACTCTGCCGCGCCTGAACCCAGTTCCTGCCCCAGGGAGGCACCGCCAGCAGATAACTACCCCCCCCACCCGCTGGGGAGGGGACAGGCCGGCCCCGTGCTGTAAGCAGGAGCGGTTCCAGCAGGGAAGCTGGATAGAGCGGGTGGGAAAGCAGCACTGCTCTGTATGGCTGCAGATCCCTCTGAAAGAGGCCAGGAGGACAAATACACCCAACCTGGTGTCAGCTCCTGCCTCCCAACACCAGCAAGGAATGGCTGGCTTCGTTTCAAGCTCAGAGCTGTTTGCAAGAAGGGGGTCTGTGCAGCTACCCTGGAGGGGATCCCCTGTAGCACAGCTGGAAGGAGGGAGGGGGTCCTGCCCCACCCCAGCAGCATTAAAACAGGGCCCAGGGATAGTTTAGGGCAGCAGAGAGCAGACAGCAGCAGGAACGCAGCTGCAGCCCTCCCATGCAAGCAACACTGGCACAGTCAAGTCGGTGCTGAGGTTACTTTTCAGTTAACAGCCCTTGTTAAATTAAATTAAAACAGAAAGGAAATGCAGCTCCATTCAGTCTCAGAGAGGTCCTAGGCCCCAGGTGAGTCAGGGTAAGGCCCAACGTGCTCTTGTACATGCAAACAGCTGGGGAGGCACCGAGGGCCTGGGGAGCAGGGAAGGGGCTGCCTTCATGCTACTGGGAGGCTGCACATTCAGCTGTGCCATGCCCATGTGAGAGACCATCCCAGCTCCAGTTGCTCTTTGCTGAGGGGCTGGTGTGGCCCTCCCTGGAGCATGAAATCCAGCCCTCCACTACTGCAGCAGGCACCTGCATCCCAGGTGTACATCTGAGCATGCAGAGATGTGCCCATGTGGCCCTCCCCTCCAGGCAGGCTCTGCCCTCACCCCCCAGTCCCAGCAGTGCTGGAACATGGCCATGGCAGCTCGGGCTAAGTGCAAGCCCTGGGCTGCTGCTTGCTTTGGTCAGTGTGTGCTCAGCCTCCTCCCACACTGTCTTCACCTCTCCAGGAGCATCAGCAATTTGCTGCACTGATTTTACACAGGTACTAGGGCTGAGGTGTCGGTGTGTGTGTGTGGGGAAGCTTGCTTACAGCCCCCAGGAAGATGACTTGTCACTGGCGAGGGGCTCTTGTTGTCAGTGTCCAGGCCAGAACCCCATGGCATCCACATGGGAGGCTGGAGCCGCCCCTCACGTCACAGCAGGATGCCACCTCCACTGGCACACCCTGTATCACCTCCTACGACATGCTGCAGTTTGATGGCTTTGAACCGTGCGCCTGGAATGGGAAGAAGCACACAGTGAGCAAGGGAAGATGGACTTCTTCCTCTGTCCTACAAGGGAGCACATCCAGTGCTCAAAGCCCCCAGGGCTGTGTGCTCAGCAGTGATGCTGAGCTGCCCTCCTGGTGAGAAAAGTGACCCTAGACAGCCCAGACAAAGCAGAACCCAGGGGAGACCCCACCATGACACAGCCAGGTTGGGATCAACCCCACCACTGTGCAGAGCCTACAGCTAGCCTCACTCACCTGCCGCTGCGATTGCTGGTACTCAGCTTCACTCGCTGACAGCGCCTGGGCCAGTGCCAGATCCTCCTCCTCCTGTGTGCTGCTGGGGACAGTGGTGCATTGTGTGCCTTGCCCCCCCCCCAGGCTCACCAGCCCAGCGCTCAGAGCCCTTCGGGGTGGCAGGATCTCCCCTCACTGCAACCCTCCAGGATAGCTAAGGGCAGGGAGCAACCAAGGATCACCCTCAACAGGCCAGCGGCTGGGGAGGGACCAGAGGATCCAGCTGGGGCTGGCAGCCAGCACCCTGGGCTAAGGAGAACCACATTAACTCCAGTCTGTAAGAAGGTGTTTTTAGCAGCACCAGGCAATGCGCCCGAGGATGTAGGCTCACAGGTGTCCTCTGTGAGCCACCTCTGTCATGCCCCAGACACACTCATTAGCTGACAGAGTGACCAGACAATAGTTTGCATTGCTCACTATCCCCTCCCAGCCCCCCAGAGGGTTTGCTCACTGAACAGATAACTCTGGACTCTCCTCCTGTCAGCCACAGAGAGGCGTCATCTGGAGCCACGTGCTGAGAGGAATGTCATCCTGGGGCCACATGATGCTGCCCTGGGCACCTCACACACAGGACTGGGGCATGACACCATGTGTCCCCGGACCATACCTGGGTGCCTGTGCTGAACTGCGTGCTGACTCTGCCAGGGACATCTCCAGAGCTCGCTGCAGTGCCTCTTCCTCGCTCTGAAACAAAATATTTTGTCACCAGCTTGGCTGAGGTGGCAGGAGGCAGCCCCGAGGGACACATGGCAGGTACATTCTTGCCCGGCTGAGGGTGCATGCATCTCCCCTCTCCAAGGCCAGACACAGGCCAGAGCCTTGGGCTCAGGACAGACCTGCAGCTCTCTACCTGTGCCTGAGGGCATGCAGCCCTGCCTGCCAGTGCAAGGCAGCATGCTAAGAATACCAGTAGGAAGCAGCTTCCTGCCTCCTCCTCCACCCTTGGCTGCAGAACAGAAAGAACACCCAGGGAAAAAGGCCAGTGCACTTTGTCCTTCTGGGGAAAGCTGAGCACTACGCACAGCCACGAGCTGCCATTCACAGGCACCAGAGCAAACTCTGATGCCCCACTAAGCATCCAGGATCCCTGCTTGCCAGGGAAGGCACAGCTGGGAAGCACCACAGTCACCTACAGAGTGTGGGTTGCAAAGCAGTTGCTGCAGTAGCTCCCCAGGGCACAGGAACCACCCAAACCCACCCCAAATGCCTAGGCCAGGCCACTCACCAGCCCATTCTGCAGCATGACAGCCGGAGGGGTGGTGCTGTGAGTCTGCAACACAGCTGCTCTGCCTCTGTGAACAGGAGAAGCTGGGTTACTGTCAAGGCAGGGAGCCCTGTTACAAGTACACAGCCCTGCTCATTCACAAGCAGGGAGCTGTTGCTCCAGCATCCCACGGGGAGCTAAGCTGAGCCTGGTCACACCCACCTCAGAATTACAAACTGGCCAACACCTTACCTGGCAGGGGCAGGAGAAGAGGGGCTGTCTGCTGGCCGGGCAGCTCCACTGCTTGACGTGGTGACTGTTTTGGAGGAGGATGCCTGGGCTCTTTCAAGTGCAGCGTGCCTAGGACAGACAGGACAGAACTGCTGCACCATCATGGGCCATCCCTGGACAATGGATACCCAGGGAGGTGAAAATGGATGAGATGCCTCCCTGGCATCCAGTTCCCTCTCTTCCTGCTAACAGCACCCATGCTGTGGCTCAGCTATGCCCAAGAGTTTCAGGTACCATTTTTCTCCTCAAAACACTGTACCAGGATAGACAGAAGCCATCAGCTACAGAATAAGGGACTGGGTGGAAAACCAAGAACAAAACAGCCTGCAGGCAGTACTAGCAGTTTTTGCTGCAGGAAGGAGAGACTGTATACAGCTGTGCTGACTCTACAAACCTTAACACGGATGGAGGGCACCACAGTGCCCAGGGCAGGGAGTGTGAGAATGCAGCGGTCCCAGACAACAGGCCAAGAGGAGCTGGGCTTCTTCCCTGTCACCCATCTGGCAAGCACAGCCCCATCCCTGCCAGCCCACCTGTCCCCAAGCTCTCACCCTGCTTTGGAAAGGGGACGCCCTGCCCCACTGCAGTCATGGTCCAGGGGATGCCGGTGCTTGAGGCAGTAGTTTTTGTGGCACTGGTCACAGATCACCTTCATCATCTCCTTCTGCTTGCAGCCAGGCTTCAAACACTTGTTGGTGAAGATCTGAAAGACAACATGGCAGTGGTGAAAAGGAACATGCCCCGCAGGGCTGGAGCTGTCCCTTCTCTCCACGCCAGGCCCTGGGCACTGACCAGCTTTCTCTACCAAAGCCTCTTCCGTGGGGCTCTGGTGTTTGTATGTGTATACTAGTTTTCTTTAGATGGTTTATTAGTAATCCAGCAGGGCTTCAGTATCCATAGACAAGGGCCTCCATGACCACAGAATGCACAGCAGGAGACAGACTGCCTTGCCCAGAGACTCCTGCCTGCCCTGCCATGGCACTGGGGACAGCCCAGAACCCTCTAGCTACTGCTGGGCTAGACTGCTGCAGGACCAGCTCCCTGTAGCCATTTCCTCTCCTAGCAATACCAGGCAGCTAATTGCTGAATGCATTTTCCTGATGGTAGCCTGCAGTTTCCCCATCCCCATCTCCGAGGTGACTGCACAGCCCCCCTCCATCACCACCTCAGCCCCCGACTTGACCCACAAAGCCCTGCAGATGTGCACAACGCCAGGTCAGCGACCCTGCCATCGGCTTGCACAAACAGAGTTGGCACCAGGCAGGGACGAATCATGTGGCATTTCACCCCCCCAGGCTTCAGCAGGGACCCGGTGGAGCTCAGCAGCAAGATGGAGAGAGCTGGGTTCCTACCTTGCGCTTGCGCTGTGCAGGGTCAGACTTGCAGTCACGGTCAATGTGCTCACCCACCACGACATCAGGCATCTCCCCCCGCCTCACGGGGACTGGGGTGTTGCAGAGGGGACACACAGGGACCTGCACATCCTGCAGTGATCAGAAAAGGGGTCTGGGAGCATGTAGTTGGGCAACCTCGAGTGCTGTGCGGCCATCTCTCTCCCCCTTTCAGGGTCTGCCTGCCATGGCTTCCACAGTGTCACCTACAGTTTGAGGTCCTGCTCACCACCTTCCAAACAGCTTGCTGTTTGTGACCCAGCAGGTGTGACAGGCACAGACACACACTCTGGGAAGGGAAGAGAGCAGTGCTGGGGGATGCCCAGAGCATTTCACCCAGTGGCAGAGGGTGTGTTGGAAGTTTGCGTCAGAGACACAGACCCTGGCTTCCAGGGACGCCTCCAGACTCAACGCACATCCCAAGGGGGACTGTCCAAGCGACACCAAAAAAAGTCACAAATTATTTTGATCCTTGACTGGGAAAGCTCAGCAGCTCTGTGCGGGAGGCTGGATTAGACCTCCTCTCCACACTTACCTTCTTGTAGGCAGAGGTGCAGTCATGCTGAGCGTAAGCAATGTGGTCGGTGCAGAAGATCTGCTCGCAGGCATCGCACTTCAGAGGGAGGAAGTCTGGGAGCAGGGAGACGCAGCAGGCAGAGGGTTGAGGTCAGTGCTGCCCGCCTGCGGCCCAGGGGCCTCCCCAACTCCCTGAAGGCACAGCCCTGACCCGCGGCAAAGCCAGGGCCGCTCCTCTCTTCCCCCAGCACGGAAACAAAAGGGACCATAGCTACATTTTCAGAAATACTTAGGGGCTCCTTCTCAAAACGTCCCCTCCCCAGGCTCACAAGTAGCATCCTGAAATCACAGCGGGCTCCCTGGGGCTGCTGGCCTCACGCCAGAGAGCAACGCTGCCACATCCACCGCGGGGTTCACCCGCCCGAGATACCCCCCCCCACTGACGTGCGCCCCGGAGGAAGGACGGGCCCGCGGAGAAGCTCCCCCGGCACCGCCGTGTCCCACCTCCCCAGCCCGCGGCACCAGGGGCCAGCAGCCAGGGTGCCTGCCAGGTCCCTGCCCGCCGCCCCTCCACCAAGAGCCGCCGCCTGCGCTGCCGTGTGCCCGCTCCCCCGAGAAGAGCCGTGTGCCCGGTCACAGCCAGCCGAAGGCAGCCCCGGGCCACCGGCAGCCAGCTCCGCCCTGGCGGGGCACC